AAAGTGACTGATTATCAGAAATCCCCCAGTAGCATAGTTGCCAACATTTCAAAATATTTAGGAAGAACACGCACAAAATACATGATCAAAAAGTAGTGTCAGGAATGCTTCCTATGGCTTTTAGATCTGTTGCAGCAGCTACTTCCACTTGCTGAAAAAGAATGGGTCACTGCTAAAACTACCTGAAAAAAAACTGTTATTTAGGCAGAAATTAATCAGATTGGGTTATGTAAGCCAAGCTAATTGTAAAAGAAAAATAATCAATTCCACTGCCGAATATGTGCTGCCAGAGTACTGTCGCTGAGGCTGTTCATGAAAATGTTACTTTTCTGCAGCACTGTGTATAACTTTAAAGTGAAACTAAACCCATCAGTTTAAAGAAAATCAGTTCCATTTCCAGCATGCTGGTAATACTGTCACATTTGCTTATGATATCAACAAAACTGTCAAACCATCAAATGGCTGACGTCATAACTGTTCACATGCGCAGCACCATAGCAGTTGCAGATCAAACAGTGGCTACGTTGGCAGCTTCCATGGCTGAAAAGCAGGGGTGTATTTACCACAAGGCAAACAAGGCATTTGCCTAGGGTGACATTTTTCAGTGGGGCAGCACTGCCCCCTGGAAGAAGAGATGGAAGAAGGGACACACACAGCATGGGGGCCAGGTGGGATCCGAGAGAGGCTGCGGGCTGCTTGATGGTGTATGCAGATCCTGACTTTCATTCCAGGGGATGTCTGGAACTGTGAAGGTGAGTGTATTTCTCTCTCTCACTGGGTGTGGGGTGGGATGGCTGGTGTATGGAGGGTGGTGGTAGTTGAAGGCTCTCTTGGGTGGGCGGGTGGAGAGTGGTGGGGTTATTGGTTGGTGTCAGGCTCTCTCTGCAGGGGGGCGGGGGGTGGGGACAGACGATATTTCTATTGAGTTGGCCCTGCCCTGTGCAGCTATAACAGCTTCAACTCTTCTGGGAAGGCTGTACACAAGGTTTAGGAGGGTGTCTATGGGAAGGTTGGACCATTCTTCCAGAAGCTCATTTGTGAGGTCAGGCACTGATGTTAGATGAGAAGGCCTGGCTCGCAGTCTCAGCTCTAATTCATCACAAAAGTGTTCTGTCGGCTTGAGGTCAGGACTCTGTGGAGGCCAGTCAAGTTCCTCCACACCAAATTTGCTCATCCATGTCTTTATGGACCTTGCTTTGTGTACTGGTGTGCAGTCATGTTAGAACAGGAAGGGGGCCATCCCCAAATTCTTCCCACAAAGTTGGGAGCATGAAATTGTCCAAAATGTCTTGGTATGCTGACGCCTTAAGAGTTCCCTTCACTGGAACCAAGGGGCCAAGCCCAACCCCTGAACAACAACCCCACACTATAATCCCCCTCCACCAAACTTTACACTTGGCACAAAGCAGTCAGGCAAGTACCGTTCTCCTGGCAACCGTCAAACCCAGAAATGTCCATAGGATTGCCAGACAGAGAAGTGTGATTCGTCACTCCAGAAAACACGTCTCCGCTGCTCTACAGTCCAGTGACGGCGTGCTTTACACCACTGCATTGCACTTGGTGATGTAAGGCTTCGATGCAGCTGCTCGGTCATGGAAACCCATTCCATGAAACTCTCTACGCCTTATTGTGCTAATCTGAAGACCACATGTAGTTTTGAGATCTATAACTACTGACTCTGCAGACAGTTGGCGACTTCTGTACACTGAGCGCTTCAGCATGCACTGACCCCGCTCTGTCATTTTATGTGGCCTCCCACTTAATGGCTGAGTTGCTGTTGTTCCCAGTTGCTTCCACTTTGTTATAATACCACTAACAGTTGACCGTGGAATATTTAGTAGCCAGGAAATGTCACGGATGGACTTATTGCACAGGTGGCAACCTATCATTGTACCACGCTTGATATCGCTGAGCTCCTGACAGCGACCCATTCATTCACAAATGTTTGTAGAAGCAGTCTGCATGCCTAGGTGCTTGATTTTATACACCTGTGACCATGGAGGTGATTGGAACACCTTAACCTCCCTGGAGGTATTCCTGAGTGTAGCTCGGGGTAAAGTTTCAGTACCAAAAGCAGTAACCTCGAGCTACACTCGGGAATACCCTGCAGCGTTGCTCCGGGATCTCTTCTTCACTTACCTTGTCCTTTGCTCCTGCAATGACCCTCCTGCACCGTCTCCGGCAATGTCCTCCGGCTGATGCCGGCATCTGTCTTTTGGGTTCCGTCCCCTGCGACGTCGGGACGTACGGGGGACGGAACTGGCGGGAAATTTAAAAATGTCAAAAAGTGATATTCACTAAAATCACATAGTATAACATTACTTTATCAAAGCATTTCACATACATTTTGTCCCGAGTGCTTTGTCCGGCGCCCTGCCTGCATTTTGACTGTTCTTTCTGCCTGGAAACTGAGAAACGTCCATGGCGTTCAAAAAGCGTCCCTTTAGGTCAAAAGCGGTTTTAGACCGGCTAGAGAACAGCGATAGTAAATCAGAACCACTTGCAGAATTGAGTGATAATGATTTGTGGGGAAATTCGTCATCAGACACTGAAAACGATTCTGCGACTTTGCTCAGCGATGTGCGAACTTGGCGCTATATTTCAAATTTCAGTGTTTTTGGTTTGATTACATTAATGAATTAAATTTATTATTATATTATTATTATTTTTTATGATTATTTATTAAATTATAGTTTATGATTTCGTGTTTCAAATTTTAACATACCCGGGATGTTTACTAGACTCTTGTTTGGACAGATTTCAGTGAGTTATTGCTAAAAATTACAGACCTACAATAAAAAGACATATTTCCATGCAAAAAAATGTACCGCTTTGAGCACAGCAATACTGACATAATCAGACCGCTAGGGAGGTTAATCCAATGATTTGGAGGGGTGTCCCAATACTTTTGGCAATATAGGGTATATGGATTATTTCTCCAAATCAGACAGATATTCTTCAATTCCAGTAATCCATAGCGGTCAATGCATTTCACATATGTGCTTCCTCAGGATATTCAATCAGGATTTACAGGAGTATGACCTATCTATAAAAACATACATTACAATATATCCTTAAATGTATATAATATTACAAAAAAGAAAGACAAAAGAAAAAAATCTAATAGAAGATGGAGAAGATGGTACACTCACATGCTTTCTCAAGGCATCCCTGAACTGGGAGACCAAAGGCAAAGGATGGCAGCCAACTGGCATGTTTTTATCACACTCGCGATTGGCTATCAATAAACCTTTCTCAATTTATCATCATTTGGTATTCCTGGCTGTCTAAAATAAGATATAGTACATAGTGATCCAGAGCAAGACAATAAGTAGAATGATGATACAGAGCAAGACAACAACAAACACCTACACCTATTAGGGCATTATATATTCTTACTTGATCAGAATATGGTGGCGTGCATAGCTTGACTCTAAGATATTCATATTACATCCAGCACCCCAGGGAAGCCTTAAAAATACATCAATAAATCAAGAGTGTTCCCTGGTACCAGTAAAGTCCGTCAGTTTGTATTTGTTTTTTGTAAGTATATTGGGATGTTGGTACAAAGAAGGGCAGCAGTATGTTATTATACTGTAAACTATTTTTTTACTATTTATTACCATTAAAAAAGGGAATAAAAATATACAGTATGTATCCAAGCTTGCTACCAAATTAAAGCTCTATTTGTCCCCAAGAAAAAACAATGGGGGAGATTTACTGAAACTGTTGCATTCAGAATCTTGTGCAGCTGTGCATGGTGGCCAATCAGCTTCTAACTTCAGCTTGTTCAATTAAGCTTTGTCAATAAAACCTGGAAGCTGATTGGTTACTATGCAGAGCTGCACCAGATTTTGCACTTTTGTTTAAATAAATCAACCCCAATGTATAGTACATTAGTGTAGACTATAAAGTTTAAAATGAGTAATGTGAGACATTGCCCAAAAATATATTCTAGAACTGTTAATGTTTACCATAATTAGCCGTGTCTGAACTGTGCTGGTAGATCTCAGAACTCAGTGGGGTTTATTTACTAAAGCTGGAGAGTGTAAAATCAGGCTCACTTCTGCATAGAAACCAATCAGCTTCCAGGTTTTAATGCCGAAGCTTAATTGAACAAGCTGAGTTTAGAAGCTGATTGGTTTCTATACAGAAGTGAGCCTGATTTTGCACTATCCAGCTTTAGTAAATAAACCCCACTGAGTTCTGAGATCTACCAGCACAGTTCAGACACGGCTAATTATGGTAAACATTAACAGTTCTAGAATATATTTTTGGGCAATGTCTCACATTACTCATTTTAAACTTTATAGTCTACACTAATGTACTATACATTGGGGTTGATTTACTCAAACAAAAGTGCAAAATCTGGTGCAGCTCTACATAGTAACCAATCAGCTTCCAGGTTTTATTGACAAAGCTTAATTGAACAAGCTGAAATTAGAAGCTGATTGGTTTCTATACAGAAGTGAGCCTGATTTTGCACTATCCAGCTTTAGTAAATAAACCCCACTGTGACCCTCTTATGCTGGTCATACATGGCTGTTTTTTCGTTCAGCCAGTGAGCCAAACAAAAAATACTGAACTGATTCTCCCATCCACACATTCGAGGTAGATGTGGGAATCCTTCCGCCTGGGTCATTGTATTCTGAGAGCAGGATCATAATACATTGATCAGCGCTACAGACGATCAGCTGCATGTGCTGATTGAAGACAAATTTACCAACAAGCCTGTTCATTTGAAGTCTATTGTTAGATCAACTTCATATGAACTGGAACAGTCATAGATGGATCGAATTTGGCCAGTCCCTGCTATACCAGATGAACTTTGATCCATTTATTGCCAGCTTTAGTTAGCAGGAACAGATTGGGGGGGTTATTTAGTAAAACTGGAGAGTGCAAAGTCTGGTGCAGCTCTGCATAGAAGCCAAATAGCTTCCAGGTTTTACTGTCATAAAAACTTAATTGAACAAGGTGGAGTTACAAGCTGATGGATACCGTGCACAGCTGTACCCCATTCTGAATGCTCTAGGTTTAGTAAATCTCCCCCCGTTGAGTTTTCTCTTCTTTATTCTTATTTCAGATTGTTCAGAGTAGCTTGCAGATAAAAGAAAAAAAGAATGAGAACACAAATATAAAGTGGGGTTTTCTTAAAGTGTACGTGAACCCTTACCTTTAAAATAAGCCATTCAATTTAAACAAGAAATGCACAGATTTCTCTTGCTGAGATTGAATGCAGATGTGCTAAATATTTGGATGTTAGAAACAAATTGAAAGTTCTCAGCATACCTTATGCAATATTATACCCTGCCAAATTACATATCATAGTGGATGAGGGTACACATTTCTTAGAGACACCTGCACTGACTAATGCAGGCCATAGATGGGTCGAAAATCGGCCGATTTTTCGGCCGAAAATAAATCGGCCGATTTTCGGAACGTTAGTGGGCTATTTGTTCGGCCGTTTTTTTCGGTATTTTGGCAGATTTTTTTTATCGGTAAAGTTGGAAAAAAAAATCGGCCGATTTTGCCGATCGGCCGATTTTCGCGGCAATGATGGGCAAATCGGCCGATTTTTTACCAATAAAAAATCTGCGCATGAGCAGTGACCTGCAAGAGGAAGACAAAAAGAAGAGGAAGAAGAAGAGGATGAAGAAGAAGAAGATGATGAAGATGAAGAAGAAGAAGAAGAGGAGGAGGAGGAGGAGGAGGATGAAGAAGAGGAAGAGGAAGAAGGAAGAAGAAGAAGAAGAAGAATTCCAGTCCAGCAAAAAGTGTCCCTGCAGAGAGCTCCGCTATTTCTTTGACATTTACAGCGGTTGCAACATTGTATCTATTTGTTTCCGAATAAAAACATCTGTATCCTAAATGGATACAAATAGATACATTGTTGCAACCGCTATAAATGTCAAAGAAATAGCAGAGCTCTCTGCAGGGACACTTTTTGCTGGCTGTAGACGGGATGAAAATCGGCCGATTTTTTTTTTTTTTATACCATTGCTGGTAACGTCGGCCGCTTTTAACGACCGATTTTTCGTTTTTTAAAAGAAAAATCGGCCGTTTTTCTCCCCGTCTATGGCCTGCATAAGGCCTGGTTGGAATGGTTGGAAGATCTGCATGATCTCATAAAAAGGCTTGCATGTTTACGACTTTGTTTACAGGAAACACACTTTCCCCAGTCAATTTTCTGCCCCCTTTGTGATGAAAAAATAAGCTTAGATCAAAAAAATGAAAAAGGTGTAAAAAATTAAGCCCACCCCCACATGCACACAAACATAAATGCACGCATCGGGGGGGGGGGTATATACGCACAAAAACGTTGATTGCACTACACGTTACATATCGCCATGCATGTCAGAGTGAGACCTATAATTCTAGGCCCATTATTCACAATAACTATAAATTGATGACCTGAAGGGGATTTTAAAGCATCACATATGGAAATTATAGGGTAATGAAGTTTGCTGCCATTTCACGGATGCACACAATTTTAAGTATTGACATGTTGGTATCCATTTACTTGGCGCAAACTCATCTTTTATATTGTACCGAAAAAATTGGGTAACCTATAGTGTTATTGTGTTCTAAAATTAACTTTAGGGTAAAGTGGTTGCAAACCCGTTCAAATAGCCAGTGAAGTGACTGGCCTCAGGTGATACACAGAGATAAAACAAATCCCTCTTTATAAGTTGTTACTGTTTATCTGTAGTCCTCCTTTTCTTTACAGACTTCTAAAACATACATTTTACACAGCTTGTTTCAGCTCTAGAAAGCAGGGGGTAGGGATCTGACGTCACACACTGCAGAACACATAGCAGGGAGAGGACTGTAACTTGAGCCCTGAGTGGAGGGAAAGACACAACCCCACACAGCACACAGGAGAATATGCACAGCTGAGGCAATCAATCACAGGCTGTGTGCTGTAGCTTCCCTCCCCACCCACCTCCATCTCTTGGAGTCAGGAAAACCTTTCAGCAGTGAGTCATTCAGATAGCAGAGAAAGTAGACAGCAGAAAGGAATCACACTGAATACGGCCATAGATGCATAAACACTCAGCTGGTTCAGCAGGAACTATCAGGAATTTGATCCATTGATGGCAGTTCTTGCTCCAAAGAAGGCAGTCTAACAGGACTGTTGGAAAGTTTTCACTCAATAAGCACATGCAGCAAATTGGCTGTAGTGCTAATTCAGTGTATTCTGACAGCAGAAGAGTCCCCACTGTCAGAATATATTAGCACAATTACACACTATAGAAGGATGTGCTTTGTTCATTTTCCATGTCAGATTTTTACAACCACTTTAAGTTTACTGAAAACAGGGATTTCTAAAGTTTTTTTAAGGGCTCGTTTACGTTTACTTGGCTATTGTACCAATGCTTGCCAAACACCCCTATAGCGTTTGGCAAGCGTTGGTCCGGCGTTTGCGGAGCGTTTTTTGCGTTTTAGCGGCAGTTGCTAGGCGTTTGCCGAGCGTTAAAAACGGCCAACAAATGCCTATAATGCAGTTTCAATGATGTTACCGCTCCGCAAATGCCCCGCAAACGCCGGCCGGGCGTTTGCGGAGTGGCTCCATAGGCTAGAATAGGAGGCTTCAACACCTCCTGACTCGACGAGAGGCGTTCATTTTGCCGCACCGCGACGCTACCGCTCCCGTTAGAACAGCACCATGTGCTGCAATGGGCAGAATTGTCTAAGGCGTTTGGGAAGCGGTAAAAACGCTTCCCAAACGCCTTTCTGCTGCTTGAAAACAAGGCTAGTGTGAACGTAGCCTTAAACCCAGCGATCAGAGGGGGCTGGAAGGAAGGTTAGGTGGGCAGTAATTTTGTCCTGGAGTTGGGCTTTAATACTTAATATGTATTATAAGATTTCAGATATGCCTCTTCAGTAGAATACATTCTTGCCTACAACTCTAAGAATAGCTACAAGAAACCAATTTTTTTCTAACATTAGCATGGGAACAGCTTTTTCCCTAGAACATTTTTTTAAATTAAATGTCACCAAGCATGGTACATGCAAAACCTTTGGAGCTACATAAAAAAGTAAAGCATGGGAAAAGAAAAATGTTTTATAGTATTTTGTAGTGTTAAAGTGTACATACAGCAAAAGGTTTTTTCTTAGTTTTGGATGCAGTGGGGAAAGACTGGAAACCCCTTTAGGTTTCTACCTGGGGCTCAATTAGAGATTTTTACCCTTACTTCCTCTCATTCTGACAACATCTTACCAGACAGGAAAAACCCAAAGCAAAGAAGATTTTGGTGTCTGGAGTACAAAACAGGCACTCACAATAAAATGTAAAACACAAGTAGCAACTAGGATATAAAGTACATAGAAAAAAACAGGATGAAGTGGCAGCAAGGAGATCCGCAGCTGACGGCACCAACCAACCAACCACCCACCAGGAAAGGGAAAGGGAACCAGGTGTGGGGTGAATCCAAAGGGAAACCACTGGGAGTTTGCTAGAGATCCGCAGCACTTGGTGAATACAGATCCAGGGAATATTCAGAGGCTTACCAAGATGCTGAATCAGTAAAAATTACAAAATGTATTTATTAACTAAAATATATTTATTTCAAAGCCTCTGTAAAAAGGACAGAGCCCCAAAACACTTAAGCCTGTCCACTTTCTTTCCTGATATCGGTTCCAGTCCTGAGTGTAGGGGGAGGCCAATACCAGATGCCATTGTGGCATGCTTCCTGGTGGGTCTGGCTTTCCATTATCCGGCTCATCGATCCTTTCAGGTCCTTGTTGCTGTGCTGTGGAATTTTGCCCTCCACCTCCATACTGCTGTTCCTTTGCCCAAGTGTAAGTTCGGATAAATTTGTTTGAATACATTTTGGCATTTTTACTGATTCAGCACCTTGGTACCTCTGCAGGGGTGGACTGCCAACTCATGGGGCCCACGGGCAATAGGGGATCATGGGGCCCCTTTGTCCTTGCCCAAACTCAAAAAAGCCTATGAAAAATGTACCAAGGGCATCTCATGGGGCCCCCTACTGACCCCCGGCCCTCGGGCAGTGCCAGAGTTTCCAAATGGTCAGTCCGCCCCTGTACCTGTTTCCTTACCAGAACGAAGTGAGGGGTGAAGGGGGGCAGTAAAGAGAATCTTTCGCTTTGCCCTGTATAGTCAACAGTATTGCCTGTGGTCTCCCTTCAACTAATCTTTCCTCCTTACTGACTTACCATATATTGTTCTGCACTGTGAGGGTTATTTAGTAAAACTGCATGGTGCAAAATCTGGTGCAGCTCTGCATGGAAACCACTCAGCTTCCAGGATTTATAGTCAAAGTCTAACTGAACAAGCTGAAGTTAAAAGCTGATTGGCTACCATGTACAGCTGCACTGGATTCAGAGAGTACCAGTTTTAGTAAATCCCTCCATGTCTCTGTGTGAAGGCAGTGTAGTTATTTGCCAGAACACCACGGACCGGAGCTGCGCAAGACCAAAACGTTGCACTCCCTTGCTTGTGTTGTGATCATGCTTCAATCAAAAATTGTTTGGATTTAAGTTGAAGACCCATTGTGTGCTGGAAAATATCTACACTGCATCATGTATGTTCCAGTCTCCAGCTGGTGGTTGCTGCAGTACCCATTGTTTTAGAGCCTATTCCAGGAACATGTGCAATGGGAATAAGGATGGTTATCTGTGTGAATGCAGCCACCTTGGTAGAGGCAGGGTTTTGCTTCCTCATGTCAAAGACTCCAGCAAGAACTATGACATCAACCAAATCTCACTTCAATCTCCTGAGATTAGCAGTTGGAGGCAGGGTGCCTATCCACTGCAATTTTTCTTGTTACTATTTAGGAACAATAAATAGGGATTTTTCGGCAGCCAAAACATATTAGAAACTTTTAGCCTATACAGGTGCTGAGTGTACTGCATGGGGGGGGGGGGGGGGGCAGCAGAAAAAGGAAGGAGAGGAGCAGTGTATACAGTGAGATACCACTTAATGTCACTGCCAGTTTTTAAATATAGTTACCGGCTTTTTTCCCCTTCACTATAGCTCCAAGAATGAGCTGTCTTTCTCTACTCCGCTAAAGGAAACTAAAGGGCACCCTGTTGGGTAATGTCACTGGGTGACCCCGCCCCTTAGTTTCCCTCAGTGGTGGGGAGAATGACAGCTCATTCTCATAGCTATAGTGAAGAAAAAAAAAAGCTGAAGATTGCATGTAAAAACAATGCCGGTTTTTAATCTAATTAGCAGCTTTTTTCCCTTCAATACAGCTCCAAGAATGAGCTGTCATTCTCCCCTATATGATGGAAAAAAAAAAGTTAGGTAGAAATTTTTTTTTTTAACAGTACAAAAATCAAAGTTGCACCCACGCACATAACATCCCCTCAGAAAAAAAAATTTAGTCCACCCCCACATATGCGCACGTACAAAAGTAAAACCACATGCCAGGGCGCCTACGCATGCCGATTGCGTAGGCAATTCTAGCACCAGACCTCTTCTGTAATGCTAAACTGATGACCTATAAGGGGCTTTAAAAGGGTCCTCTATAAAAAATACAGGGTACTGAAGTTTGTCGCCATTTTCTGAGCACACACAAATTTAAGGCTTGGCATACTGAATATCTATTTACTCGGTGGAACCTCATCTTTTATATTATACCAAAAAAATAGGGTAATTTATTGCTTTTTTGTGCCCTAAAATTAATTTTGTGTATTTTTTACTGAAATTTTGCGGTAATATCATGTGACATAAAAATTTGGAACTACTGCTATTTTATTCTCTAGGTTCTCTGATTTCAGAAAATATAGAATGTTTGGGGTTTTTGTGTAATCTTCAAGCCTGTGCAAAAAAAAGTGTGCAAAAACTGCAAAAATGGCTCCGCCTCCATTGATGAATGGGAAGAGAAGGGCTGGAACTCTACAGTGATCAGCAGCCGCCACTCAGCAGTTTGCAGTAAGGGGCTGAGAGGAACACTGGAAGTAGCGGCAGCTCAGCGGCTACACTGGCCCCAGACACCCAGCATCTTCCTCTGTCTTTTCTTCCTCCCCTCTGCAGCCCCTGTCCTCAGCTGAAGGATCATTCATGATGTTGCAGTGTCCCACACAGAGAGAGTGCTAGCCTGTATGAAAGAAACCTGGTAGCCAGAAATCCTGCTGAATGATAGGGGATCAAATACTTATTTCCCCTCATGAACATGCAAATCAGTGCATAATTTGTTAGACATGCATTTCTTTTGAATTTTTTGTTGCTATTCTGTCTCTTAGTGTTACAATACACCGAACATTCGATTTTTAGACTGATCATTTCTTTGTGAGTGGGCAAACATTCAAAATCAGCAGGAGATCAAATACTTACTGCCTTCACTGTGTATATAATATATATAAGAAAAAAAAAAATATATATATATATATACTGTATGTATGTGTACATACACACAAAGTTTCACCTTTAATTTCTATTTTAAACTGAATGGATTGTTTTACCCATCTCCCTGCTGCCATTCACATCCAAACTCCTCGAGCGCTTAGTCTTCAATCGCCTAAGCTCCCACCTCAACAACAATCCTCCTCGATCCCCTACAGTCCGGCTTCTGTCCCCTACACTCCACCGAAACCGCATTAATCAAACTCTCCAACGACCTGCTAACCGCCAAAGCTAATGGCCGCTATTCAGTGCTCCTACTCCTCGACCTCTCCGCGGCTTTCAACACAGTCAACCACCCCCTCCTCCTCAAAAAACTACACTCCCTTGGCCTCAGAGATTCTGCTCTCTCCTGGCTCTCGTCCTACCTATCACAATGCGCTCCTTCAGCGTTACCTATAATGCTACCACCTCCCCCTCACTCCCCCTCTCTGTTGGGGTCCCTCAAGGCTCTGACCTAGGGCCCCTTCTCTTCTCCATCTACACCTCCTTCCTTGGCCAACTCATACACTCTCGCGGCTTCAACTACCACCTCTATGCCGACGACACGCAAATCTATCTCTCGACCCCTCGCCTCACCCCCGCAGTCTCCGCCCGAATTACAAACCTACTGAACGACATATCAGATTGGATGTCGCTCCCCTTCCTTAAACTGAACCTCTCCAAAACCGAGCTCCTAGTCTTCCCCCCAGCCCAGACACCACCCCCCACTGACTTCTCCATCACGTCCAACAATGCCACCATCAGGCCCCCCGCAGGCCAGAGTACTTGGTGCCATTCTTGACTCCAATCTATCCTTCCAGCCCCAAGTCCAATCGCTAACAAACTCATGCAGACTCCACCTCCGCAACATCTCCAAAATACGTCCGTTCCTAACCCCAGAAACCACTAAGCAGCTCATCCACTCCCTCATCATATCACGACTTAATCCCATTGGTCAATCCTCAAGAGGCGAGTGAACAAAAAAACCCTCACACATCCTGACACACTCCAAGTATTGATTATGCAAGAATGGGCTGCCATCAGTCAGGATGTGGTCCAGAAATTGATTGACAGCATGCCAGGGCAAATTGCAGAGGTCTTGAAAAAAAGTGGTCAACTTAATGTAATTGTCAATAAAAGCCTTTGACACTTATGAAATGCTTGTAATTATACTTCAGTATACCATAGTAACATCTGACAAAAGATCTAAAAACACTGAAGCAGCAGACCTTGTGAAAATTAATATTTGTCTCATTCTCAAAGCTTTTGGCCAGGGCTGTATATGCAATGAGTGACCAGACCTGAGGGTTTAGGGCAGCCTTTCTCAACCAGGGTTCCTCCAGAGGATGCTAGGGGTTCCTTGAAAACTTAACAATTTCTGCCTCTCTGATAAGTAATTGCTAACAACAACAACAATCATTTTAGCTATCTGTAAGGAAAGGATTCTTCCCAATGATCACAAATGTAAGAAACATTCTTCCCACCGACATCACAATGTACCATGAGCTGTAGATATAGTAAATATCAGTAGGGATTCCCTAAGACCGTTAAGTTATTTCTAGGGTCCCTCCATATAAAAAAGTTGAGAAAGGCTAATTTAGAGAGTTCAATGGTAAACCTCAGATCTGGCGACTGTCAAAATCGGCATTTTTACTCTCATTGTTTCAAACTGCTTGGTTACATAAAATAGGCAAATACGGTAATGACACTGTGTATTCTACCGGGTGACAGGAGGATCACACAAATCAGTATAAACTAAACAGGGATTCTTCTCCCCCGCTGTATACATTGTGTATCAATAATGTATAACTGTAGCAATGGTATTGCCATGAGAAAAAAAATATAACAGCAGAGCAAATATTAGCCCTTTTGTGATATCAAAATCAACACCAATATTAAAAATTCTGTGATCTTATAAATCCGTATGATTTCTTCCTATGTAAACTCTCTGAATATCAAAATTAAAATTAAGCGAACTCCTCCACCTACATGAGCCCAAAATACAGACTCACCCTCTAAAATTGACCCCTACAACAGAAGGTCTATAAGCGCAGATGGTGTCAAACACAGACCTAAGGTTTAACCCCCCTGGCGGTATTCCCGAGTGTAGCTCGGGGTAAACTTTCAGTACCAAAAGCGGTAACACCGAACTACACTCAGGGATTCCCTGCAGCGTTGCACCGGGATCCCTCGATCACTTACCTTGTCCTTTGCTGCCGCGATGTCCCGTTTGCAGCATCCCCGGCCGATACCAGCATCCGTCTTCCATTCCCTGCGAGCGTCAGGACGTATGGGGGACTGAACCGGCGGGAAATTCAAATATTTTAAAGTGACATTCACTCAATACACTAAAATCGCATAGTAAAACATTACTGTATCAAAGCATTTCACATACATCTTGCCTCGAGTGCTTTGTCCGGCGCCCTGCCTGCATTTTTACTGTTCTTTCTGCCTGGAAACTGAGAAGTCCATGGCGGCCAAAAAGTGTCCCTTTAGATCAAAAGCGTTTTAGACCGGCTAGAGAACAGCGATAGTAAATCAGAACCACTTGAAGAATAGAGTGATAATGATTTGTGGGGAAATTCGTCATCAGACACTGAAAACGATTTTGCGACTAAGCTCAGTGATGTGTGAACTTGGCGCTATATTTAAAATTTCAGTGTTTTTGGTTTGATTATATTATTGAATTAAATTTATTATTATATTATTATTTTTTATGATTATTTATTATATTATAATTTATGATTTC